CAAGAATGGAATTGCAGATTTGACAGATGTACTAAGTGTAATGGAGAGTACTTTGAAGGTGAGAAGGTTGTTTTATAAAACAATTTAAATACATAGTTTGGGGGGAGATTCCATTTTTTAGGGGGTTACCCTCTCATAAGACACATCGGAAAAGAATATAACTACCTATCATTAACCTGCTTATCCATGTAGCAAACTATTTTTAAATTTTTTTTCTACCTTGTTTACTCTCTGTTTATAAAAGAAAAACCCTGTCTTGCCTAACTTTTCAGCAGCATGGTGATGTTATGGTCAAAATCTTCCTAGTACAGTAAACCATTTTGCCCATTGCAGTAGTCCCTTTCCTTCCTTCCTATTTAAGTCTGAGTTGTTTTTCTTTATTTAACTAGTGCACTTTTCACCATGAACGAAACAGCTCAACCACTTAGGAAACATGAAACCTCTGTATCCTTGTGCTAGCCCCTCCCTATTCAGTCAGATTTTCAGATAATGATAAATTATTAACTCTTGAAATATTAATCATCAGTTGATTGAAACCTGAAAATTAAATATCCAACTGATTACATTTATTTAAAAGGACTACCAACATCTTATAAAAAGTTTTTAATTTTTTTTTGAGAATGATGATAGCAGCAAACGTAGATGTGCTTGACATAATGGATGTATGTATGTATTGTGATAAGAATTGTACGAGCCCCCAATAAAATGATTTTTTAAAAATACTTTTTTTTAACTTTTAGAGAAAACGTGCACATCCAAAAATAAAATGGTCAAATCAGAAGCCATTAACTTTATAAGTAGTTAAAATGAAAGAGGTTAAATACATACAGCTTTAATTATACAACATAGAAGGCTAATTGCTATAACAAGTTGAACTAGCAAAAGTTTCATGGCAGGTATTTTTTAGTTGTCTAGTGCTGCTACAATAAAGATACCACACGTGAATTGTGAGGGAAACTTATTCTCTCATAATTTAGGAGTCTGGAAGTCCAAATTCAAATGCCAGCTCTAAGTGAAAGCTTTCTCTCTCTGTGGCCCTGGGAATAGGCCCTTGTTTCCTTTTTAACATCTGTGGTCCAGTGCTCTTAGAGATCTCCATGTCTCTGGATATCAGTGTTCTCGTGGGTGTAGGAAGTTCTTAGCATAAGCACCTGGTCCAAAAGATGAACTCCACTTCCAGCTCTTATTTCTCGGTGGTACCGAGGTTCCTGTTTGTCTGCTCGTTTTTCTCTTCTGTTATCTCTTATAAGGTAAAAGGAGAAGAAAACAAATTCCGCACAACTTGACCTATGTGTAACATCATGATAAATGAAGGAAAGATCGTAGTTTTCAAGGATTTCATCTTGCTTGGGTCCACAATCAGTACTCATAGAAGCAGCAGTCAAGAGAACAAATGACACATTGCATTAGGTAAATCTGCACAAGATGCTGCATAAAACCTATTAAAGCGTTGAAAAGCAATGATGCTACTTTGAGGACTAAAGTACGCCTGCCAACGACTAAATACCCAAGCCATGGTGTTTCCAGTCACCTCATGTGCATGTGAAAGGTGGATATTGAGTAAGGAAGACCAAAGAAAAATGGATGCGTTTGAACTATGGTGTTGGTAACGAGTCTCGACACTACCGTGAACTGATAAACCCAACAGATCTGTCTTGGAAGAAGTACAGCTTGGATGCTCCTGAGAGGCCAGGACGGCAATAGTTCATCTCACATACTTTGGAAATGTTGTCAGGAGAGCTCAGTCCCTCGAAAAGGATATCATGCTTGGTGAAGTGGAGGGGCAGTGAAGAAGAGGAAGGCCCCGACAAGATGGATTGACACAGTGATGCCACATGGGCTCAAACATACCAACTGTGAGGATGGCACAGGACTGAGCTACGTTTCATTCTCTCATTCATGAGTCAGAACCAACTCGATGGCACAGAACAGCAAACACAAACAAGGCGATGTTGGCCACAACCCAGGGAACTCCCCTTACATCTGTTCAGAGCTGGGACCTGACCATGACTGCTGCATCCCCCTCTGATCCCCTTGCCACAAACTGGCTGAGCACATCAGATGGCGTGATGCATCCGATGGCATGACTGCATCATTGTATACCTGCTAAACCACTGAGAATTACAGCCCAGCCAAATTGACATATTTTAGGGAACACAATTCAATCCATGATATTCTACCCTTTAGTTCCCCCCAAATTCATGTCCCTGAAACATGTAAAAGATATCTATCCCATCATATCATCCGAAAAGTTTTAAGCCAAATCTAAATTCTATCCTGGGGCAAAATTCTTCATCTGTGAAATCCAGAATATAGGCAGGATAGGCACAGTGTGTTAGACCGGGTTGACTAGAGAGACAAATCCAGAGAAACTTGTGTGTAAGAGAGCTTTATATCAAAGAGCAATTGTATAGTGAGAAAATATCCCAGCTCAGTCCAAATCACGTCCATAAGTCCGATATTATTAGCCCATATGTCCAATATTAGTCCATAAATTCCTCTTCAGACTCCTATAGCACATGCAGTGATGCCAGATCCAGGAAGATCACAGGCTGGTGGGTGAAAAGTCTTGTGGATACAATGCTGGTGGAAGTATGTAAGCGCTGTTGTGGGTTTCCACGTGGCTCCTCCAGCTCTCTGAGTGTCAACAGCAGGAAAGTGAAGCAGAAAGAGAGAGTATGTGGCCTGCCTCCAGGGAGAGAGAGGAAGTTGCCAGACTTCTCATGAAGTGACGCCATAAGGAGGCAGCTCCAGGCTCTGACCTGATTGACAGACTAGACTCCACCCCTACACTTATGTATCAAGTTGACCTGAAATTATGTAACTACCACACATAACTAGATAATTATACGAGGAATGAGGGGAAAAGAAGAGATAAATATCAAGCAAATCTAAAACCCAGCAGAACAGTTTACCGTTTTCAAACTCTAAGTCTTGAAAGCAATCTTATGTTCTCAGACCATCTAAGAGGGAAGACTTGCTTTCTCTGTTTGCTCTGGGGGAAGGTCTTTGATTCCTTTCAACAAATATGGGCTCAGCATCCCTTGGAGATCTCCAGCTGTTGGGTTCTCAGTTCAGGGACCCAGCATCCAGAGAATGGGCGCTGTTCCTGGCTCATCTTCCTTGGTACTGAGGCCCCTTTTCTCTGCTTGTTTCTCTCTCCTTTTATCCCTTGTAAGGAACCATGGTGTCATAGTGTATTATGCACTGGACTGCTCACAACAAGGTCAGTAGTTTGAAACCACCTGTCACTGGAGGAGAAAGATGAGGCTTTCTACTCTCATAAGAGCTAGTGTCAGAAACCCACAGGGAATTCCTACCCTGTGTTACAGGGGTCACTGAGTCAGGATCAACTCAGTGGCAGTGAGCTGGATTTTATTTGTTTAACTCTGGTCTGATAAAAGATGATGTGGATCACACTCTAGGGAAATCTCTCCTTATATTGGAACAAGGCTGCGGTTTGAATAAGGGTGTTGCATCCCACCCTAATCTCCTTACAATTGATTGGTACATCATGAGTTCCATCATTACAAACTGCCCATATTATCTTTTTATAACAGCCAAACTACTGAGGATTATGGTCCAGCCAAATTGACGTTTTGGGAGGACACAGTTCAGTCCATTACAGGTGCTTTTAACAACAATGACCTTCCCAAAACAGAGTAGTTGCTGAGGCTGCTACATAGAGCCAGAAACCTTGAGATTCTATTCCTTGGCTGTAGGTTAAAGGTCACGGCTAAATAGTACTAAGAAGAAAATTAGTTTTTTTAATCACTAGTAGGTAAATATCAAAGTATGCCAAATGATTCAAGGGAAAAGTTTTAATATTTCAAATCTTTGTCCTTTTCACTAATTTGTAGTCCTAAAACACAACAAAACAAGAAACATGTTATATTTTAATCATTGAAGGGCAATAACTATGTATATATAAATAATTTCTAGATGGTTAGCCCAAGTTGCAAGGAAACCATGGAAAAGGTGAACAGAAGTCAAGAATTAAGAAATAATTTGCAGTCATTATTCTGCAGTTATCTTTCAGTTAAAGTTAAGAGTTTTGTTATTCAACATGCAGAAATTTGTTATTCCAAGTGTTGTTTTCTGCTCGCTCTTTCTCTGCCATCACTGTCTTCTTTTTTAAAAATTAAAATAATTGTTATTTAGTTGGAATTAATACAGATATTCTATAGTTCAATCACGTCAAGCAGCATCATACAATTGCTACCACAGTCATCAGTTTCCAAACATTCTTTTCCTTACTGGACTCCTTGAAATTGTCTCCCTTTTAACCTCCCTCCCCCACAACCACTGTACCCCATCCTCTCACCCGAAACCCGTATTCTACTTGCGGTCCCTATAGATTAATCCAGCATATCTTCTTTACTGTAAATTTGGACAGTGGTGCATTTTAGATCATCAACTTTGTATTCAACAGTTTAATTTACTAACCAGCACCTCCAAAATGTTACTCTTTACCCACTCCTTGTTTCCTCTGCTCCCTCTCATGGGTGACTATCACCCATGACACCCAAGTTAACACCCATCCCCTGTCTAGTCTGTTAATTCCTCTCCTCTCCCCTCCCCGCCTTCCGCAGCCTCTACACTATATCTTATAAGACTTTCAAGATAAGAGATTCCTGGTCAAGAAACAAAAACATAGTCACCCCATTCCTAGACAGGTTTCTGAATGAAAATGGTAATGGTTCAGGTATAATTCCAAGAGGTCTCCTTGGAGAACAACACGCCAGGATCTCTGGAGGCACAAATGAGTTGACACGCACGTTTATCTAGGTCCACTAGCACTTTACCAGATCACGTTCACTAGCATTCTACTATTTCAAGTTTAAAAATTCACTGTAATCTGAACAATTAAACATGCCTTCCCCTGAACAGACTGTAAATATAGGATCTTTGATTTGAAAAACAAAGTGTTGTTTTCCTGTAATTGCCATCGTATCTAAACAGCTAAAATGGTTTTAAGGTTGCTTTGTTCTTTATTTCAGAACACCAGAAAGCTCTGGAAGATTTCACTCTTGAAAATATTCTTTCCCATATTTATTATTTTCGCTGTCGTGACTACACGGAATTACTGGCACAAGTTTACCTTCTTCCAGACTTCGTTTCAGAACACCCAAAGGTATATGTCAAACTACTGAAATGTAGTGAACCAAATATCTTTGATAAGCATGAAAAATAAGTATAGTGACATAAAATTAAGGTCTACTGTGTACATGGATATATGTATACTTATTTAGGTAGTTTACAGTACTGATAGAAATAGCTTCTGTCATGCACTGAATAGAAAGATACAGAATGGACAAAACGAAGAACTTCCCTTTTGCTAGGAGGGGATTTCCGTAACCATTGCTAGTTGTCCAGCGTCAGAGACTCCATTAAAGTCGAACACTGTCACTATTTTCCGTATTACTCTCTTTCACAACTACCAGTAGGCTTCTCCTCTTTTGATGTACTTACCATAGAGTAATAAGAACCCAGTTCTTTGTAACAAGAGTCCAAGAATCGACTTGAGACGCCAGATGCTAGCGATAGGTTTTGTATATCGGATTGACTGGAAGATTTATGCAAGACATTGACACTTGTTGGGGACTGGTGAGGAGTCTTTATTACTTATAGGCCCACTGAGAGCCCATACTAACATCTTTATTTTTCGTTTTTGTTCTTTAACTTTTAATTGTGAATTAAGTGACCATTAACAGCAGATCATTACTTTTACGTTCAATTATTCACTTGCGTTTTGTCTCAGCTCACCCATTGCAGTCCTCTCAGTGCGCCTTCACTCACCTACTGCCGCCCAGCGTTTCTTGTTTCCATTTTGCCTTCTTTTCTAACTCTCTCTACTTTGTCCTTGGATAAATGCAAGACCAAGGGGGAACCCTTCACAAGGTTGGATCTGTAGCCCACCCCCCTGGGGGATGAACAACAAATGTGGGTGAAGGGAGACAACAGACAGTGTAAGACACGAAATAACAACAATAATATGTAATTGATCAATGATTCACTAGGGTGGGAGGGTAGGTGAGGGAAGGTGAAAAAGAAGAGCTGATACAAAGGGCTCAATTAGAAAGAAAGGGTTTTGGAAATTTTTTTTCTTTAAGGATCATTTTATCGGGGGCTCTTACAACTCTTGTTACGATCCATGTATCGGTTGTGTCCGACATATTTGTACATATGTTGCCGTGGTTCTTTTGTAGACATTCACTTTCTGTTGAGCCCTTGGGATCAGCTCCTCTTCCGTTGTTGTGGAAATGTTGATGGCAACATAGATGCAGGTGTGCTTAAGACAATAGAATGTTGGATTTGTCATAAGATTTGTAAGAGCCCTCCAAGAAAATGATTAATTGAAAAAAGTTTTCATAATTTAGCCCCTTGTAGGTTCCACCACATTTATGGATATATTTGCAGCAAATATCTTCTGCCAGATCTGTGTATGTTTCTGAATATACTCCCACTCTCCCAACCTATTCAGTCTACATATCTGTACAAGAATTTCCCTGTAGGTCACCACTAATGCAGTATGTAAAACAGTATTGGTCTGTGTTGCCTTTAACTCCTGCAAACCTCCAATGTCTCCCCTGCCTCTTGTTTTTCTTGCCAACTTCCTTCTTGCCATCCCTGTCACACACCTGTCTGTGCTCTCGGCTCACTCCCCCTCCTCCCTCCTTCCCCTCTCACCCTGGTAACCATCCCAGAATGTTTCTTTTAATGTGAGAACATTTTCTTGACTTTTTATAGTTATGGTCTCATACAATTTCTGAGCTTTTGTGATTAACTAAAGGAGGACTTAGCATGATGGCCTCCAGGTTCATCCATGTTACTGGAAGTTTCTCTGGTTCCTTGTTACACTTTAACATTGTATGTGTGTGTCAGAGATTATTTATCCATTTCTAATACTGTTGGGGTTTTAGGTTGATTCCATCATTTTATTATTGTAAATCAGGCTGTGATGAACAGGGGTGTGCATGTATCTATTCACGTTGGGAAAAGTATGTTGTTTTTCATTTTCTTTTTTAACAGTGTTCTTACAGCAGCAGCTGACTTGATACTGGACCGTAATGTCGGATACTAGTCTGATCCTTTTACATATGAGGTTCAGGAATTTGGTGGTGAAGGGGTTAAGCATTAGCCGAATGGAGAAAAACCTGGCGACCTGCTTCCATGAAAATGGGAGCCTCGGAAACCTTTGGAGCAGTTCTACTTTGTCTTCTAGGGCTGTTCCGCATGGCAATTGACTCTGTGGTGTACACCAAAGTTTGAGGGTGGCTCTTGCCTCTTCTCCACCTTAATTGTTGCTCATTCAGAACTTTTGTTGCTCACTGAACACCCAGAATTTCTGATTCAATATGTCTAGGATAGGGACTGAGATTTACATTTCCAAGTTCCTCAGTGATGCTGTCATGGACCACTGATCTTAAAAGTAGGTATTGGTTTATCTTAACTGCTCTGTTTTAATGAAAAGCAAGAATGCAGTCCCTAAATAGTACAGTCAAGCTTGACTACCAGTCTCAAGGTTGGTAGTTCCACCCACAAAGAGTGCTTGGGAAGGACAGGCCTGGCAATCTGCTTCCAAAAGCAGTTCTACTCTGCACACATGGGTTGCCTAGCAGTAACCACAACAGTTTTTAAGAATGCAAAGGAATTCTATAAAAAAATTTGAGAACCACTGATTAGGATCATACATGATACCCTTGCGTATTTTATTTTTGCCAACCGATGCCATTATTTAACAATGAAATTAACAGTAAGCACTTCATTACTGTCAGATTCAGCCAAGAAATTGCTCACATTGATGAACAAGTACTGTTTTAACATGAACGTTGGTATCTTTGCTTATATTAACACATGAAAGTGGCAAAATATGAAAGCTACATTTCTGTGCAGAATAGGATAATATTTTAGTACTAGAAGACTACTCAATTTTTTATTAGATTTAAGAATGTAATACGCACATGGACACAATGCATTTTGAAGTTCATTATGATTAACACTTTCTCAGCTCACTGCAGTCGAGTCAATTCCAACTCATAATGACCCATTTTCTACATCACTTTTGCCCC